CGTGCCTTTTTGCTTTGCCTTTTTTCTTTGTTCTCCCTCTCTCCTGTTTGGTTCTGTGCCTTCTTCTGTGAAATGAATGGGCTTTGGTGCAGCTGTGCAGGATGTTCAGAGGAGAAAACACCACTTGCCTGAAAAGAAAAGCATAAAGAACGTGTCTATCAAAAGCTCCTACATCCCAGTGTCACAAAAGATGAAGGCAAATCACAACCTAAGCAATATGGGAAAGTTAAATTAAGTCACCTTGACACAAGGACTAACAGGAACCAAGGTGGGGGAGGGTCTGGCAGCCTGAAAAGCTCCTGTTTGCATTCTTTACTCTTCTCTTTACAACTGAATTAACGTTTAGAGCTGCTACTTAATTTTTTGAGAACCTGGAAGACACACCTACCAGTGTCACTGTAAAACAGAATTATTTCCCAGTGACACTCTGTTCATCAAGCTTTTTTTCTTAGTCTGAAAAGAAAATGAACAATAACTTCATGAGCTTTGTTGCATTCCAGATTGATTGTTTTCCTGTAGGATTTTTAAAGCCTCCTGCAGTGTCATCATTCTATTCCTCTGCTTCTCCCTGCTGTAAGTGGGAAATACCTGTAGTTCTGAAGTGACAGCAGGAGAGCTGTGGGAGACACCAGATCCACCAACATGTGCACAGAAATACTTGCATTAAAATTAGTTTATGTTTAAAAAATGACTCATGCCCAAGAGGATTTGAAGGCAAAAGGACTGAATGTCTTTGGGAAACAGCGAAGCTGGTCATGGTGTTTTGAAAGGCATAAAGTAAAAGAATGGTAGAGAAAAACAGCAGGATAAGATGTTCTGTTGTGTCTGTAGTAGGTTGATGGTGGTGGTGATACCTGTGCTGGTGTTTGAGTGCTCTGAGTGCTCCTGTAGGCAGAGGATGAAGTAGGCAAAGCCCCAGGGTGTCACCAGGAAAGTGGGAGGGAGTCACAGAATCACAGAATTGTTCTGGGAGGAAAAGACCTTTCAGATCACCCGGTCCAACCTTTCCCCCAGCCCTGCCAAGGCCACCCTGCCCCGTGTCCCTTTAGCACCATCTCCAGGGCTTGGAAACCCCTCCAGGGATGGGGACTCCCCCCCTGCCCTGGGCAGCCTGGGCCAGGCCCTGACAACCCTTGCCAGGGAGAAATTGTTCCCCAGATCCAACCTCAACCTCCCCTGGCACAACTTGAGGCCGTTCCCTCTTGTCCTGTCGCTTGTTCCTGGGGAGCAGAGCCCGACCCCCCTGGCTCCAACCTCCTCTCAGCAGCTGCAGAGCCAGCAGGTCTCCCCTCAGCCTCCTTTGCTCCAGGCTGGACACCCCCAGCTCCCTCAGCTGCTCCTCACAAGTTCTCCAGCCCCTTCTCCTTCTGCTCCAGCCCCTTCCCCAGCTCCCTTGCCCTTCCCTGGACACGCTCCAGCCCCTCCATGTCCTTCTTGTCCTGAGGGGCCCAGAACTGACCCCAGGACTCCAGGTGCCCCCTCCCCAGTGGTGAGCACAGGGGAACAATCCCTGCCCTGCTCCTGCTGCCCACACTATTCCTGACACAAGCCAGGATGGAGTTCTCTTCCCTTGGCAGGAGCAGCAGAGCAGGATGCAGAGCGTGAAGCCCAGTGAGGGGCGAGCACCCGAGCGCAGCCCTGCAGCCTCTTCCCAGCACTACCAGTTCAAGCTCAGCATTGACAGCTGGAGCTTTTGCATTTCCTTTCTCGTGCTGTTTGAAATCCCCCCATGCAAACACTGTTTGACTGATGTGTTGGCCTGCTTGGTGGCCTGGTGGTCACCCAACCCCTGCCCTCCCATGTATTTCTGTTTACCCTTCATCTGAAGCAATTTCCTAGTGAGATGGAAGTGCACCGTGCCCTTTCACAGGAGAGATTAAACAGATGAAAATGTAACCAGGTTACAGCCAGAAAGTATCCTGAGACTGTTTGCTAGAAGCTTATTCCCATGACATTCGTTACTCCTTCAGCTCCTTGCTGGGGTCTCAGCAGCTTCTAAGCAACTGAGCATCACCGTGGTGGGATTAGGGAGCGATGGCAGCTCCGTGCAGCAGAGCAACACTTGTGTTTGTCTGTTTATAATTCATTTCTAGGATTCTTTTTGTTGTGTATTCATGGCCACGAGCAAGTGCTGCACATTATCGTGGCGAGGGAGGTTTAATTTTGCTAATCCTGTTTTATTCCCATTTTGGTGTCGCTCCGGCGAGTGCCACAATGTGGTGCCTGTAATGAATTTCAAATGTGATTGGGAGGGGGATTGTCTTGCAGCTCATCTGAATGGGCTTTAATGCTGGATGCTGAAAAGAAAAGAAAACCATCCATCTGAAATGCTGTTTGCTTGGACTCGTTCTGCTGGCTGGGAAGAGCACCCTGCATACCAAGCAGGGAAGAAGCACAAGCGTCTTCCTCACAATGTGCTGAAACTTCTAGCATGATTTGCTCAGCTCAAAAGCATTTTCTTTCATGCTTCTCTCTGAGAGTATTTCTTTTTACCATTTGGTCCAACACTTCTTGCAAGCCAGACATATGTGGCAATTTTCACCAAATTATGATTTATTTGGAGTCTTTACACTCAGGATAAGTGCAAATGATGTGATGACTGCACTGAACAAGGCACTTTTAAAGTGCAGCTGTGGCTCCATCCTTGTCCAGGAGTTAATAGTGGGAGAGGCAAGAAAAATAAAGAGCAAGAGGGAGGACACAGTCATGGAGATAAATAAGGTGCCCTCGGCCAGGACACAGAGGAGCTGGAACATGACCAGAGAAGGGCAAGGGAGCTGGGGAAGGGGCTGGAGCAGAAGGAGAAGGGGCTGGAGAACTTGTGAGGAGCAGCTGAGGGAGCTGGGGGTGTCCAGCCTGGAGCAAAGGAGGCTGAGGGGAGACCTGCTGGCTCTGCAGCTGCTGAGAGGAGGTTGGAGCCAGGGGGGTCGGGCTCTGCTCCCCAGGAACAAGCGACAAGACAAGAGGGAATGGCCTCAAGTTTTTTGTTCCCCCCCCAACACTGTAGAAAAGAAAACAATTTTTTGGAATGTAGTTGAGTTTTGAAGTCCCATCTTCCTAAGAAGAAGTCATATTTTCTTAAAGCAGTGGTAGGGAGGTGTCATACAGCATATATATGGGCACTGAATGTGTTTGTCCACAGTTTGATGTGTAGGTTTGAGTGGCTCCTGTGCCACTTCCAGCACTGAAATAGCCTCTGGGGTTGAATGGGATCCAGGTGGATGCCCAAAAGCCAGGCCTGTGAAAGGACACTGAAGGAAGCTGGGGAGGGAGGTTTTACAAGGACATGGACTGATAGGATGAGGGGGAATGGTTTGAAGCTGAAAGAAGGGAGATTTAGATTTGAAGATTGGTAAGAAATTCTCTGGTGTGAGGGTGGTGAGACTCTGGAACAGACTGCCTAGTGAAGCTGTGGATGCCCTGTCCCAGTAAGTGTTCAAGGGCAGGTTGGATGGGGCTTGGAGCAACCTGGTCTGATGGGAGGCATCCCTTCCCTTGGCAGGAGGTTGGAACTAGATGATCCAACCCAAACCAGTCTGTAATTCACCATCTCAGACACAGATGACATTGGGTTTTCTCCTGTAAGCCAGAGCTTGTGCCAGAAGGCCAAACACCCACTTGCCAGGGACAGGTTCACCAAGACTTGCAGTGCTGCCTGGGGACACAAGGACCAAATGGCCATAAACCCTTTATTCTTTGATGTAAATCCCCAGCTGAAAGATCTCATGGATGTGAAGTTTTGCCTTGATTTTCCTGCTGTTCTTTTTAAGAGCTGCACATTGTGTTGCTGAAGCCTCTGGTGTAAATCCCCATCTCGTGTAGCTTTTTCATCCAGCTTTATAACCATGATCTCCTTTGCTTTGAGAATTGCTCCTTCTGTGCTAACTTGGGGGTGGAGGGAAGGCTAATTAATTAAGCAGTAATTGTTGTCAAGTCAATTGGTGCTACCATTGAACATTTGACTTGTTTACTGTCCTGAGTTACAGCGGAAGGAGTTAATGATCTAACAAATTGTTCATCCATCATGAGAGACTTGTTTGAAAAGAACAATTTTATTTATGGACTGTAAAATAATACATTTATTTAAAAAGAAACCCCATATTTTGAAGGAAGATTGTTGAGGTTTCTCTGTGAAGTTGTCACTAGATAGCTGTGGAGACAAATGCGTCGCCTAATAAAGCTTAATGACTGATTTTCCCATTAATCAGAACTGAGAATGTGCTTCATTAAGATAATTAACTGAGCCAGTTGCTTAACTGACAGTTAGACACCAGTTCCCAAGTTACTTTGCTTTCCTCTAAATAAAACTCACAAGATGCAAACCTGGCACTGCTTCATCATCTGTACTGGGGGTGTAGAAACAGAAGGGCTGTTCATATCTCATTGCCAAGGTCAGGTCCATGACTGGGGACAGCAGTGGGTGGCCCTGGGTGTCCTGCACATCCTTGCAAAGGACCCAAGCCTTGGGTGTGAGGTCATTGTAGTCACCTCAGGCTGAAAGCTCACAAAATATTTGCCACTTTCCATCCCCCCAACAGCAAATGGCCTTTTATCTGCTGATTTCTGAAAGGTCAGGTTCTTTGTTGTGGTTGGTTTTTCTCACCCAGAAGTTCCTCCAAGGGAGAGGATTCTTGTCAGAATTTGTGGCTTCTCCTCTTGGTTCATCACAAGCTACAAGTGGGGTCATGAGTTCCTTCCCCCTCCCCCAAAACGCAGGGATGTGTAAGAGGAACCTGCTCTGGGTACATCTGCAGGCAGAATATGCAGCACTGAAGAAGTTTGGGGAATTAACTGGGAGATCCAGAACTTGAATTATTAAATATGCTTTGGGGTTGTAACGTCTTGGTGGAAACCCTTGCAGCTCTCTGTGTCTTGAAGTATAATGTGATGTTTCCATGTAGCAGAAGACTTTTTGCACAAAAGTTGACTCTGGAGCAAATATAAGGCTGTTGTCTCAAATCTGCTTTTTCTTTCCTCCTCAGAGTTCCTGGTCTTCCACCATGAACCCTGTTTACAGCCCCGTCCAACCTGGGGCTCCCTATGGAAACCCGAAGAACATGGCATATGCAGGTAGGCCTGGTGTTCCTGGCTCCTTTGTGAATGTCCAGATGTGGTGGTGAGAGCAACTGATCCCTTAATGTGGATAATCCCTTAATGAAGGGAGAAAGTTCCCAGCAGGGAGCCAGGTGGGAATGTGGCTTGCAGGAAAAACTCTTCAGCAAGGCCAGTGCAGTAAGAAGAAATGGACCGAATTCCTAAGAGGATGCTCTGGAAATCCTAAAAAAAAGGATGAAAAGGGGGTTCCTTTAGACAAAAAATGCATGGGGGAGTCAGCTGGGAGTTGGAGGACTTGGCTCCAGAGCTGAACAGAGTGACTTGGGTCCACGTGCTGGAATAATCCTGCTGTAGAAATGAGGATCCCAGTGGCCAGAGCCCATTATTTGGAGAACGTGCAGTTATTGTTAGGGGTGGTGATTTAAACTCCATTAGCAACTGGTTTTTGTTGTTGTTTTCGAGTTGTGCTTTGGTGGAGTTAATCTTATTTTGAACAGCCAGTCTGATGTCTGTTTGAAGTCCATCTTTAGAACTGAGTTGTCTAAAAATGTCATCTTTAATACTTGAAGGAGGCGTTGAAAGATGTTTACCCCGACCGTGTAACTGCTGGGGACCTGACGTGTTCTGATATAGAGAGAATTTAGCTCAGAGAGGATTAGTGCTTTGGAAAAAGAAAACCTCAGCTTAGGAGTATCTGTGGTTTTCCCCACGGATTGTGTTTGCCATGTGTTCTTCTGATCTCCTAAGCACTTTACAAAATCAGCCTTGGAAGACTCTTCTAACATTTGGTCGAGCGTAATTAGCTATCAAATGTCAGATTGTGTTAAGGTTTCCTTCTTTCTACTTGCCGTGCCAGTTGTATGTGTGGAGTTGTACCTAAGGTGTGAAATTGCTTGGGAATGTGCTTTTGGTGGAGCAGAGTGGTCAACAGCAAATGGAAATGAACATCAAATAACTCTTGAGCTACTTCAGTTACGAAATCGTCTCCTCGACTTCGGTAGATGTTTCAGCTGGTAGATCAGCAGGGCTGGCTGTGTTGCTGGGAGAGGACCTGTCTGATCCTCCACTGAGCAGAGAGTTCCTCAGAGGCATTTTGCCCCATTTTTCTTCACCCTTTCATTTTTCCCCATCAAATTGATGCGTGCTGCTTTGGTGGAGATACTGTAGCTCGGGGGAACTTTGATGTCACACTCAAAGCACTAGAGGCTTGGGAGAAAAAAAAAAAACACCTCTGTGAATAATAGTCTCTTCAAAACTGTCACCATTGTGAGAGGGCTGCAGGCTCCAGCAGTGCTGGGGTGATAAAATGAGCTCCTAAATACACAGTTATTTTCCTGCACTGGAAATAACAGCAATTTTGTGCTTTCCAGCACCAGGATGGGTTTGGACAAGACTCTTCTTCTCATCCGCTTTGCTTTTATTTTGGCATGTGCTCAAAGCTCCACCTTAATGTCCATCAAATGTAGGTCTTCTATATCTGCTCTCACACAGTCCTGAATGTTTTCCAAGCTGCTTTCTGGCACTTGATAAGATAATTTTCTTTCAGTATTGTGGTATGGATTTGGATAAAGTTTGTACCTTGACCTGTCTGGAAGGAGAATTTTCGAGGGTGATTATTGGTTGAGATGGATGAATTCTACATGATGGCTTTTTTAAGACATCAAATCACAACATGCATAGGAGGTTATCTTCTAAAATAACCTGCTGGTTAATCACCAGGAAGATTATACTGCACACTTAAAGATACAAAGCTGTTTGTCTCCCTTGGCCAGCTCGTGCCAGCTCTGGTATGGGTCATGGCAAGGTGGCCTCCATGAGACTGGTTTCACAGACTCACAGAATGGTTGGGGTTGGGAGGGACCTCTGGAGATCATCTAGTCCAACCCCCTGCTAGAGCAGGACCAAAACTAGGGCAGATCAATCAGAAATGCATGCAGGTGGGTTTTGAATGTCCCCAGAGTTGGAGACTCCACAACCTCTCTGGGCAACCTGTCCCAGGGCTCTGTCACCCTCAAAGTAATGAAGTCCTTCAGAATTGGTGGGAAATGAGGAGAAATGGGATGTGTAGAATGACCTTGGAGGAAGAAGCTGGAGGGAGATCAGGCTGGAAAAAGTTAAAAAGATCCTTAGTTATGTCAATGGTGAAAGAAACATGGGAAGATGGAAGTGAGCCCTGGAATGTAGGACACCAAAGCAGGAACTGGGTCACAGAATCGTTTTGGTTTGGAAAGACCTTGGGGATCATCAGGTCTAAACACTCACCCAACACGCTGCAAAACCTCTATCAGTGCTTGGTTGTTGCATTGCCCAGGTGTGGGGTAAGGACTCAGTGGGCTGAATTCTTAGCTTGACATCCCAAAATAGACTATAGGTTCAAAAAAGTTGAAATGAAGAGCTGTTTTCCTTGCTAGGCAAACAGCATTACACAACCTTTTAAATATTCATGTATTTGAATAATTAATGAAAGACCTAAAGTTGTGTTGTGAGAGAGGGGGAGAAAATGTAAATGTTATCCTTTGTATGGAAAAGACAGTCAACTCCAGAGGGTGGTCTTAGCAGTTATTAGAAGACTGCCATGTCTTCTGCTTTACAAGTGCCAGGCTCCATCTACCTCATTCTTGCTTTTGGTGCTTGGGCTTCATTTACATCCCTTTCACTTCCATCACTGAGCTACGTATCAGCTTCTAAAGTAGCCACAAGCTCTTCTGGGGAATATTTAAACTCCTAGAGACACACAAAATGAACTTTTTATGAGAGAAGCATGAAGGTAAGGAGTTTTGCACCAAGGTCATGGGAATCTCAAGCACAAATGCAGGCTGAGTAGAGAGTGGATGGAAAACAGCCCAGAGGAGAAGGACCTGGGGGTGATGGTGGATGAGAAGCTCAACATGAGCTGGAGCCCAGAACCCACCCGTGTCCTGGGCTGTGTCACCAGCAGCGTGAGCAGCAGGGCCAGGGAGGGGATTGTCCCCTCTGCTCTGCTCTGCTGAGACCCCCCTGCAGGGCTGGGAACAGCTCTGGGGTCCCCAGCACAGGGAGGACACGGAGCTGTTGGAGAGAGGCCAGAGGAGGCCCTGGAGATGCTGGGAGGGCTGGAGCAGCTCTGGAGCCAGGCTGGGAGAGTTGGGGTGTTGAGCCTGGAGAAGAGAAGGCTCCAGGGAGACCTGAGAGCAGCTTCCAG